GATCTTCCTGGAGCTGGAGGACGTTAACAAAAAAATGTCCCCCAAAGTCCACGATCTCAAAGTCAGCTTACTGGCCTAAAAGCCATACAGACATTGTTGAAGGTAGAGGGTTTGAGTTAGGTCCCTCTGTTAAAGATTTACAGTACGCTTTCTGAGGTTCTTTCAATGCACTTTCTCAAGTTACACAATTACTGTTTCATATAGGGACTATGTTTGTGAGTCTATAAGAAAAATATTTTGCTCTGTGAATTTATATCAGTAGAAACCCAAAGAAACTGAAATGTAGGTTTCTTAGAAGATCTGCTCCATTTTCACAAGTGGATCGTGTTTGTGAGCTTGTTGTTTTAAAGTCTTGAGAGCACGTTACTGTTACTGTTAAGGAACAAAAAATTGTAAAAAAAAATTGTATAGAAAATATTCTGTACAATGTAATTTTTTTTATTGAAAAAAGTCCTTACCGAAAGTGTTCAGTCATTTAAAATGTTTTGAAATAGAAGTTAAACATCCGGTTAGTAGGTTGAGACTGACAGATGTCCATTTAATATTATGGGCAACCCTTTGCCACAGCATGCATATCTTGAGATGTATTGAGTGGATTAAGGTAAAATTTTGTGAAATTGATAGAATAAAGCCTGTCAACTTTGACTTATAAGCTTTCCTCTAGCACCACCATGAAGCACAATTTTCTAATGTACACAATGTCTTAATCTGTGAGGTGTGTGTGTGTGTGTGTGTATATATATTTATTTATTTTATACTGACCCTGTCAGTTTTACTATCAAATGGCCAAAATGTCAGCTTTATGTAATGTAATAACTAGATTTCCATATTTGATGAGTACATTCTACTAACATTCCGTTGACAAGTACCAGTGGTTAAATAGTAAGTAGAAATACTCAGTTGCTAATTAGAAAATTTGAGTACATGTAACTTAAAAATAAACTAACATTTGGAAAAACAAAGTAGATCCCACTTGAAATTTGGAACATGGAAATTAAAAAATTGAATTCAATCAAAAATACACATTTAGAACTGTTAAAGTTATGTAGATCACACACACAAAAAATGACTAAAGAAATACTAAAATTAAGTTTACTTTAGGTGTAAACATTCTTTCAACAGACAGAAAAATTAAGTAGTTTTTACAAAGACTAGTCTTGTTTGATCTGCATAATAAATTTATGCAAAAAAATTCATCATATGTTTTAAGTAAATCGAGCAGAAAATTTTTATCAGTGTATGAATCGCTGTTGTTTTAAGTTTAACCAAATATAATTTAAAAGTAAACTGTATAATTTGCATATGTAAGTTCAAGCAGTTTACAAAATGAATAAAACAGACATAAATCTGACTGAAGAAAATTTTAAAATGCATTTATTTATATATAATTTTAACACATTTCACAATCAGGAACACTAAAATGTGCTGGAAATCTGAAAGGATACTGATGAACATTTTAAAATGCAATGACTTCACATAATAATTCACATGATAATGAAATATTTTTGTTAGCATTTTACCAAGTGAATTAATTTTATCATACATTAATGCATTATTTAATTTAAAATGTACTATAAAATATTCTTAAATTGACATTAAAATAAGTGTACTTTAAAAAAAAAACATGCTTACGCATGCTTACACATTTATGAAAGTATTTCAGTATACTGAAGTATAATTTTAATGTTAAATATTTTAAATCATATTATCTATGATATATTTTAAATCGTAGTATTACCAGTATTTCAAGCATACGATCAAAACACCAAAGTGCACTTTTTTATGATGTAACACTGACATTTAACATTTTATCAAATGTCACGTTAACATAAAAAATAGCATTTTCAGTCAGTTTTGAATGTACATGATTCATCGCTGTTATTTATTAATTTATCATTTTTAAAGAAATAAATATTTTATATGTCAACATTGCACTGTGCAATAGGCCTAACCATAACTCAAAAGAAAAACAAAAACCTTAATTACCAGCTTGCTTGGCATTCTGAGCAGAAGAAATTCTGCAGTTCACAAAAGGTTTTACTGTGTATGAACGATTAACAGAGAAATGACAAATCAATGTCATTTTGTAATTAAAAACAAAACTTATTCCTTAAAGATCTTTGACCTCTTATCTACAGCTGGTTACACATTATTCAGTGTGAAAACACTTCCATATGCTGTAAAAATCAGTATTGGCCTCTTTATTTATCTGTCATATTACCCATTACTCACTCTATAAAGCACAGTGGCAGTTTTCTGTCTTCAGAAATATTATATGATAACATCCACTTTTTTTAAATGTAGAATGTTCAGCTGCCAGGATTTTGGTGTTTGTCCAGCAAATTGTCCATCTCCATCCAGGGAAGATCCCACTGGATTTCAGTCATGTCCTGCTTGGTTTTAGGCATTTCCTGTTGGACCCTTTCCCTCCTGAATGCCCTATTTGGACACACATACAATTTCTCCCTGAAAAGCATAAGTAATCATTGCAGATATTTGATACAGAGAGCAATGTAAATCAGTAGTCATTGAAATTAATATCACAGACGGAATAATAGAAACTGCTGTAATTAATTTGAAAAAAATTTAAATTTGTCATTATTTACTAACCCTCAAAGTTCGAAATGACATGAGTGTGAGTTGATATCGACACAACTCTCATTTTATGTTTAACTATTCTTTTAAGTGTGTATCACAGTTAAATATAGCATACATCTGTATACTAAACCCGATCTCGTGGGAAAAACGTAATTTTATGAGTTGGTGATTTTTTTTATGAATTTGTATGATTTGAATGGTACAAAAACATATTAAGAAAAAATAAATAATAAGCATGAAGGATCACCCCCAACCTTAACTCTCAGTGGGACATCAATTTGTTCCTGTGGCGCAGTGGTAGAGCATTGTGTTAGCAGTGCAAAAGGTCGTGGGTTTGATTCCCATGGAACGCACATACTTGTAAAAATGTATAGCCTGAATGCGCTGTAAGTTGCTTTGGATAAAAGCGTCTGCTAGATTTTAATTATTTTAATTATTATGATTATAAATTGTACAAAAATGTACAATCATACAAATTTGCCACCAGTTGGCCAAAACATAACATTTTTATGAATTGTATACTCTACCTGAAACCTGGAAACAACAGCCAGAGCAGAACAAAAAGCACTAGAAGAACCAAGATGACACAAAGCCCTGACACCCAGACAAACGATCCTGGATAACAAAGTTCATATGGACAGTTATAACATAGAAAGCCAAATTCAATAACAGATATTATCTGTATCTCATACCTGTAAATGTCTTTTCATCTTCTGAGTCATCTGTGGAATTATTCACATATTAGTAATGAAAACTATTATCTTTAAAAGTGTGAATTGAATCTATATTATTGACACTGATGTTCTTACAGCTCACAGTGATGTTGACAGTGTTGCTTGTCTTGTTTTCAGCAGGACTCTCACACCAGTACATTCCACTATTCTTGTAGTCGATGTCCATGAAATGACATTCTTCAGGTCTGTCTGTAGATTCTGTGCCATTCAACTGCAAACATCCAGACCTCGTTTTAGCTCCTTGAAGCCTCCTCAGTATCCAGCCTGTTGAATTACCACCTATTACTGAGCAGAGAAGGATGAAATTGCCCCCCCTGAAGTGTTGTCTGCTGTCAGGCCGGACCTCTAGAGCAGCGTCTGAGTGAGAATCTTTGACTGATTCATACCGATCCGTATCTTTAAATGCTCCATGTGTGAACAGGGAGGAAAACAGCACTGAAAAGTCATATAATGCAACAACGTTAAAATCCCAAATCTTTTCCCCTCTTGAGTATATTGTGGAGTTTATTAATTAAACCAGACATAGGAATTAGGATAAACATTGATAAAACAGACCAGTGGATTGTGTTTTAGAGCTGATTCTTGAACAGTCCATTTATGTTAATAAGTTTTATGTAAAAATCTCACCTACATAACCAGAAGCTGACAGAAGTCCCATGTTTTCCTTTAGCGCTGGGTGTTTTTCTAGAAAAAGAGTGCTAGACAGACATAATAACAGTGCAATATCCAACAGAACAATCAAAGGCATTTCTTTACTCCGCCTTTTCCGCTTGCTAGAGATGATCTGATAAATTTGTTCACACACTGTTTGTAAACTGAGAATTGGGAATTTCTTCTTTGCCTAAATTATCAGTGAAATATAGTGATGGAAAAAGAAACGCATTCTTATCTGTTTAATCCTAATCTGTTTAATAGCCAACCTAAAGTGTTGAAGAAAAGACAATGTCCTGCTGACCTTATATTCTAGGGTGACCATA